AAAAAAAAAAAAAAAAAGAAAGAAAGAAAGAAAAAGTGATACACATTTAGCAGGCTCCTCAACTTATAATAGGGTTATACTCAGATAAAACCATTGGAAATTATAAATATATAAGTCATACAATGGGTTTACTGGGACATAGCCCCATTCTAAATTCAGGAGCATCTATAATCAGGTTGTCAGGACAAACACCACCAAAGTAAACAATCAAACAAAACCCAGGATTTTGCCAAATGATACATCAGTCTTTTCTATTTAATTCAGTAAAACGAAATAAACATTAAAAATGGAGATCATCCACTACTACAAAAAGGAATTTGAGAAAGAATCCATTTTTATAAATAAGGAAACTGAATCCCAGATTAGAGACTGATAAACACTCATGCAATCGCCTAGTGCCAGCTGAAAAAACTCTGGCCCTTGCTAGTTTCGGAAACCTTCAAAGCAAAGAGCAGTGGAAAATTTCAAAGCTGAAGTAGAGTTGACCTCTGGTGGGGAACCACAGGGCACAATGTCATTTTAATGCATAACATTGCTGAACTACTTAGCAGGCAACCTAGATGATTTTCCAAGAAACTCTTCCATGCTTTCCATTTATGTACTGTGTCTGGACCTGCAAAGTTCTCATATTTTCCTCTCTAACTAAGCTAAGAATAAGTCTCATCTGACAAACTAAAATGAGGTTACTTCACTGTGGGGCACAGTACTCGAGAAGTTAATGAGAATCCTACAGTGACAGGTGAGTTATCGATGAGAAGAAAGCAGTGTTGCAGGAAAAGAAAGGGACAGGACAAATGTGACTCTTGGACAGGTCACATCAAAAGACTCTTCTGTATTGAACTTGAGTTAAAAACAAAACCTACAAAGTAGTAAGACTAAAACTTACGCCTAATGAGAAGAGATTTAGCTAAGGAGACTAGTTAACTGTTTAACCTTAAGACATCATCTAAAAGGTTACCTAGGTGCTATTATGCAACCATTTAAAACGACACAGGGACAGATGTGGTGGCTCCTGCCTATAATCCTAGCACTCTGGGAGGCCAAAGCAGGTGGATCACTTGAGCCCAGGAGTTCAAGACCAGCAACATTCTGAAACCTTCCTCTACAAAAAAAAAAAAATACAAAAAACAGCTGGGTATGGTGGCACAGCCTGTGGTCCCAGTTATTTGGGAGGCTGAGGTGGAAGAAACATCTAAGTCCAAGAATTTGAGGCTGTAGTGAGCCCAAGATCACACCACTACACACCAGTCTGAGTGACAAAGTGAGATCCTGTTATTCATTCACAAATAAAATAAAATAAACATAGGCTGGACATGGTGGCTCACGCCTATAATCCCAGCACTTTGGGAGGCCAAGGTGGGAGGATCACTGGAGTCCAGAAGATGAGACCAGCCTAGGCAAATGTAGGGAAGCCCCTTCTCTACACAAGAAAAAAAAAATTAGTCAGGAATGGTGGCAGGCACCTGTAGTCCCAGCTCCTTAGGAGGCTGAGGTGGGAGGATCACAAACCTGGAGTTTGAGGCTGCAGAGAGCCATGATCTTGCTACTGCACTCCAATCCAGACAACAGAGTGAGACCCTGTCCCAAAAAGTAAAGAAAAAAATTTTTTTGAGACGGAGTCTCACTCTGTCCCCCAAGCTGGAATGCAGTGGCGTGATCTCGGCTCACTGCAACTTCTGCCTCCTGGGTTCAAGCCATTCACCTGCCTCAGCCTCCCAAGTAGCTGGGACTATAAGCGCATGCCATCATGTCTGGCTGCTTTTTGTATTTTTAGTAGAGACGGGGTTTCACTGTGTTAGCCAGGATGGTCTCGATCTCCTGACCTAATGATCTGCCCGCCTCGATCTCCCAAAGTGCTGAGATTACAGGCGTGAACCACTGCACCTGGCAAGAAATTTTTTTTAAATAGAAGAAACAGAAGAAGGTGAAAACTAAGTCCCAGCAAGATGACATAACACATAGTAAGACTGTAAACTTAAGTCATAAATTAAACCTTTATCTAAGCTGAATTTCCTTTCTCTACACTGCTTACCTCTTACCCAAAAATTATCTTCCCCATATCATATACCATCCTCAGCCTCAGAAAGAAATGTAGGGGGAACATGACAACTATGTACAAATATCTGATAAGCTTTGGAAAGAACAGTAGACTCACTTTACGTAAATGGGGAGGACAAACAACCAGCTGTCAGTGACAAAAGAGGTCAATTTCAGTTGAATCTGAAAAGGCCTATGCCGTCCCCGCCATGACCTGATCCATTCCTACACATTCTTCAAAACCCATCCTCTCTTCCCTCTGGGTAGTTTTCTCTAGTGTGCCCTGGGTATCCCTGACAGTGGGCCTGAGTACTGCTCTTTCTCATCATTACTGGTCACATCACAGCAAGCATCCCTTGCCTGTCTCGCACACTCAAACTGAGTTCCCTGAAGGCAAGAACTTAAGGCTTTTTTTTTTTGAGATGGACTCTCGCTCTGTCGCCAGGCTGGAGTGCAGTGGCAAGATTCTGGCTCACTGAAACCTCTGCCTCCTGTGGTCAAGCTCTTCTGCTGCCTCAGCATCTGAAGTAGCTGGGAATACAGGAGTGCAACACCAGGCCCATCTAATTTTTTTTTTTTTCCAGTAGAGATGGGATTTCACCATGTTGGCCAGGATGGTCTCAGTCTCTTGACCTCGTGATCTCCCTGCCTGGGCCTCCCAAAGTGCTGGATTACAGGCATGAGCCACCGCGCCAAGCCCCGAACTTAAGGCTTTTTTACTCACCTCTATACAGCCTCCAAACTTAGTGGTGACTGACAAAATCAGGCCTTTAACAGATCTTTGTGGAAAAAAAAAAAAATAGAAAGAAAGAAAAGAAGGGAGGGAGAGCCAAATATAAATTTAGGGACAAGTATTCCACACTAAATAATGGTTAGGAACTCTCCCAAAATGTAGTGTTCTCAAATTCTTTTCTTCACAAGTAATCTTAAGCAGAAATCTAATACACAAAACAGACAAAAATGGAGCTGCCGGTTATTTTAATAAGCTTCACATTCATTAATATTACAGAAATTAAAAGACCAAATGCAGCAGGGTGAGGTGCTCATGCCTATAATCCCAGCACACTGGAAGGCCAGAGGGCGGGGGGATCACTTGAGCCCAGGAGTTCAAGACCAGCCTGGCCAACACAGAGAGTCCACCTCTATACAAAAAATTTAAAAATTAGCTGCGCATGGTGGCACTCGCCTATACTCCCAGGTACTCAGGGCAGGCTGAGGTGGGAGATCACCT